TTACATTCTTTCCCGGGTTTCAGGGGCATGACTGGGCCATGTCAGGTTGAGAGTGCGGGGAACCACATATTCCTTGTAAAACTTATTGTCAGTCTTATCGTTCTTTTACCAAAGAACTTTTTGTTTCTCAAAATCTAGGGGACTAGACCTGAATCCAAAGAAATAAAACACCAAAGTTCAACACTGACCATGAAGAGTCATCTCACGGCATGACAATGCAAAGATTCAGCAGGGATAATCCACACTGGGAGAATTCTAGAATATGATGATTAATCCAGAGTCCAAAGAAAACCATGACAGATTCTGGGATCAAGTTGTCCAGATTCACAGAAAAACCTTCATTCATGGAAAGGAGCATGATTAGAATGAATCCAAATGACAATATAGTCTGAACACAAACCTTGTTATATAAGAGGGCGTCTTTAAGGGCCAAGGACCCTATAAGTTTGACATGAAAGAAAAGACCACAAACATAATTCACACTTACCTCACCATAAGAATTGCTTTGAAATGACTAGGGTAGCCAATCTCCAAAGATGGCCCCAGTGAACAACACCTCCTGATATTTATGCTTCTGTGTGAATCTGGGTCGATTTCTGACTTACTTTATCCAATAGAAATGCAAAAGAAGTGATTTTCTGGGACTTCTGAGCCTAGGCATTAAGAAGGTCTGTAAGCTTATCATTTATAATTTTGGGAGTTCTGTAGAGATTATACAAACTTTTGGAGGCCGCACAAGCCTTTATATACCCATAGAAGGGGTATCTGACACACTAACCTGTGTCATAGAAATATCTGGCCTTCTGCCCTGGCTCCTGGGAGGCAACCTCGTAAGCCCTTGGAATGTCCTGCCTGATAGGAGTGAGTCATCTACGAGTCCTTCTAGGGATTTATTGAACCTGAGGATGATCTTGGGGACCTGCTGAACTCACACAAGCTTTCCGCAGACCAAGTCTCATAAATGATTTCGACCGTATCCTATCATCTATGCTTCCTGACATAGTCATGCTACTAATGCACACTATCTCAGGGCATTATCCAGGGCTGGGAAGAGGCAAGGAAGTGAGCAGGGGTAGAGCCATGCTTACTAATGAGGCCACTGGCTTCCATTGTTTTAGTCGAGAAATAAGCCATTCTCTTTTCTTGCTTCTCTCCTTTTGGAACTTTTAATACACAAATGTAAGAACTTCTCAATCTGCTCTTCATATTTTCCTCTCTGTTGCATTCTGAATGATTTCTTCTGGTTTACCTTTCAGTTTACTAAGTCTCTCTTCAGGTCTATTTAATCTGCTTTAAACCCACCCATAGAGTTTTTTATTTCAGTGATTACTTGCTCCTGGTGTGTTTAACTTGTTCCTCTCTCTCTTGTATTTCCTATAAAATGATGGCTAGATCTAGAAAATTGATTAGATTCAGATTACTTTTTATGCATTAATATTTTATATATGGTGCTGTATGCAGTAGTTCCTACTTATCTGCGGTTTTGCTTTCATGGTTTCAGCTACCCATGGTGAACCACAGTCCAAAAATATTAAATGAAAAATTCCAGAAATAAACATTTCATAAGTTTCAAATTGCACGCCGTTCTCAATAGCATGATGAAATCTCATGGCGACCGTCTCTGTCCCACTTGGGACGTGAATCATCCTTTTGTCCAGAGTATCCACGCTATGCAACCTCCCCATTAGTCACTTAGTAGCCATCTCTGTTTCAGATTGACTATAGAGGTATCGCAGTGCTTGTGTTCAAGTAACCCTATTTTACTTATTAATTTTACTTGTTAATTTTACTTATTAATTTTACTAATTAACTTACTAATTAATACCAAAGCGCAAGAGTAGTGATGCTGGCAATTCAGGTATGACAAAGAGAAGCTGCAAAGTGCTTCCTTTAAGTGGAAGTTAAAGTTAAAAAGTGAAAGTTCTCAACTTGATAAGGGAAGAAAAAAATGTATCCTGAGGTTGCTAAGATCTACAGTAACTTTTATTACAGTATATTGTTATAATTCTTCCATTTAATTATTAGTTATTGTTGTTAATCTCTTACTGTGCCTAATTTATAAATTAAACTTTATCATAGGTATGTATGTATAGGAAAAAACATAGTATATTTGGGGTTCAGTACTATCTGTGGCTTTGGGCATCCACTGGGGGTCTTGGAATGTATATCCCACAGATAAGGGGGGACCACTGTACTTCCTTTTCTTTCACATCAAAAAGTGTATGATGTCTAGCTGACTCACTTTTACTGATGCTAAGATTAATCAGGTTCAGGTGGTATTAGTCCGCTTTCTATTAAAAAGTTCCCCCATCAGTCTTTCACCCAATGGTTTTGTTAAACATTGTTAATATTATTCATTATTTCATTAGTGCTTGCAAAAAAGTGACTTTCCAATTCTGTCATTCCTTATGCGTCAATTATCTGGTCATTCTGAGATGTCCTTTGTATCATATTTTAGGATATATTGATTCTTTCCTTTTATTTATCAAACTATTGCCTTGGTGCGCTAGGAATCTCCAAAAGTAACCAATAAGGCTTTACTTTTAAGTACCATTATGAACTCACAGATTTTTATATATTTTATGTTTTTCAATCCATCGCAGTTATTATTCTTTTTAGCCTTACATAATCTCATCTTAGTTCAGTGGGAGCCCCTTCAAGTTGGCTTTTAACCTGACCCCATTTATCTTTGAAAACTTCCTTGATTTCTAACACAAGGAAATGTCCCAAGTTTAACTCACACATTTCCTGCTCCAGACCTGAAGTCAGCCATTTCTCAAGGATCCTTGGTTCATTCTAGAGAGAAATGGTATATAGATGCCACCATTTGGGTGTTTGGTATACTGATTGCTACTGGGTTGTCATTGCTTCTAGGTTTTCTAGAAAGGACTTTTTTTTGAGAAAAATAAATCATGAGTTCATACTGCATTTCCAATTCAAATTTAAGATTACAAGGCTTTTACTTTTCTTCTTTGATTTTATTGTTATGGACTGAATTGTGTCGTCCCCCCAACCACCACCCCCAGTATTCATATATATGTTGAAGCCCTAACTTTCAATGTAATGGTATTTGGAGATAGGATCTTTAGGAGGTAATTAGGGTTAAATGAGGTCTTAAGGGTGGGGCCCTAATCCAATGAGATTGGTGGCCTTATAAAGAAAAAGAGACACCAGCATGTGCTCTCTCTCTCCCTGTGCATACAGAGACAAAGGAAAGGCCATGTGAGGCCACAGCAAGAAGGTGGCCCTCCGCAAACCAGGAAGAGAGTTCTCACCAGAAACTGACCCTGACAGCACCTTGTTCTTAGACTTCTAGGCTCCAGAACTGCGAGAAAATAAATTTCTGTTATTTAAGCCACACACACACACTTACCTCCTCTCTGTCCCCTTGGCTCACACAGCCAGTCAATTTCCCAGTCACTTCTCCAATCCACCTTCTCTCTTTCATTCCCCCCGCTCCAGTTTAGGTCTTCACCATCCCTGACAAAGCACCCAGCCTCCAATCTCTCCGACCTCTATTCGGTCTTCCACACTCCTACCAGAATGATCTTGAAAGCTAGCAAAACTACTCATGTTTTTCAAAGGTTCCCCATCACTTAGAAGAAAAAGTGAGGTCCTTAACGAGAAACGCCTCCTAGGTAGAGGCCTATCCCCGTCCAGCTTCAATCCCTGCTACTCTTCCTCTCATCCTACATTCCGGCAGTACCAGACTCCTGCTAGTCATACTATGTTCGGCCACACCCAGCACCCCTGCACATGCTCTCCTTTCTGCCTCAAGTGCCCTCCCCACATCCCATGTCCCTGTCTTCCCAAGCTATGGCCCCTTGCAGGGGCTATGTATTGATTAAGTCTCCTCTCTCCCCAAAGTCATGCACTTCTTTCTCAAGGCTCTCATTATCTGTCCTAGTTTTATAATTGTTTCTTTACTCACCTGTCCCTACTAGGCTGTGGGCTTTTTGAGAGCAAGGGTCCCCTTTGATTCATCCTTTTGCACCCAGTGCCTAGCACGGAGTCTGAGAATAAGTGTTCTGTAAATGTTTGCTAAGAAAGAAATGAGTGTTGGACAGTCTAGCGTATGGATGAATTCTTATTGTTTCCAGCCTCCCCTCACCAGCTGCTAAGATGTTTCAATGGTCAGACAATTGGCCACATCCATATTTCAGCCCTCAAATTGTCTGTGCCAGTAGCCTATTGTTTTCTGTTCCTCTTAGCAATTTCCAAACAAGAGCCTAATACATTCCCAGTCTCCCCTCTATCTGAGAAGGCATCATCAAACAGCCTACTCTGGCCCATCTAACTCCTTCATGATTGGCACACATATATATGTACCCACACCGGACTTCTCTCCATCTCACAGATACTGAGAAATAACACCTAAAATCATACTGGATATAAAAATCTACAGATGTTTATCTTAAAAGCAGGTGTGGGGGTAGAAATGCTTAAGTATTTCAGTCTCAGCATTTAGCAGCTTCAATGTTTCAATGTTTGACGAACTAACGAAGTTCCTTAGATTTGGAAGGCTTTGTCCAATGACTGGGAACTCAATGGAAGAAGAGGAAACCAAATGGAGTAAGAAAAGGAGAGGCCGGAATCCGTCCACCCCTCCCCCCGCCAAGCTCCTGCCGCCACGGCCGTGGGGAAAGAAAAGCTCACAGACCTCGAGAGACCCAGGATCCGCGGCTTCTTTCAAGGGGAAGTGGGCGGAACCCTAACTTTAACCCCGCCCATGGCTGAGGGGACCCGCGGCCAATGAGAGGGCGGTCCGGGGCGGAGCGACGTGCGTGCGGCGTGATGCCGTCATGCCCCGGCCGGCGCTCGGCAGGCCGCGCGCCGGGATAGCAGAGCCGGGAGGTGAGCGCTGGCCGTGCGCCGCGGCTGGGGTGAGAGTGGTTTCGGGGACCCGAGGCGTCGCCGCGCGAGAGCCCTTGAGGCGAGTCGGGTCTCCTGGCCTCGGGGTTGCCCGGGGCGGAGGGATCAATCACCACAGCCTTCCCCAGGCCGGACGGGATGGACTCAGTATTAACTGATCTCGAAAGCAGTCCCAAGTCAAGGTCTCCTTCAGTGGGGAGGACACCCCGGCCGCTCCGCCTAGGCCCTGCGCGCCGCGAGTAGCCGGGCTCTGAGCCTTTGGGGAGAGGCAGCCCAGCGACATGGACAGAAATGAAGGACGCCAGGCAGGGCCAGCGTTTGTTCGCGCCATTTAGCGCCTTGTAGGTTAAATCCTCAAAGCACTCCTGTGAGTAGGCCCTGATGTTATTCCCATTTTGCAGAGGGGGAGACTGAGGCTTAGAGAGGTTAAAATTACAGGTTTGTAAACAGCATAAAGAGGGGAGGTAGGGTAGTTAAGGAAATAGTGAAACGTGTAAGCATCTCTAAAGTGGTAATTGCAGAAGGCCAGCAAAAGCTGTTTCTGAACTTGGGCAGTTCTAGTGACAAAATTCATTTGGCAAGTCATAACCACCAGAATATTAAACATTGAAATTTGTTTTTCAGGTGACCAAAGCCACGTAATAATGTCAGTAGCTCGTTCATCCGTCCATGCCAAGTGGATTGTGGGGAAGGTGATTGGGACAGCAATGCAAAAAACTGCTAAAGTGCGGGTAACCAGGCTTGTTCTGGATCCCTATTTATTGAAGGTGAGGAACATCTGTGTTTTCAGGTGGATTGATAGATCACCAGCGTGTTCTGGGTTCTGAGCAGAAAACCACTTCCCTGTCAGTAAAGATGCGTTGAGCATCTGCTTCAAACCAGGCACGGTGTTGGTTCATGAGCATAGCAAAGTGCATTAATCATGGTTCCTACTCACATTCTAGGGACACACAGAGTTCATTTCAATCCAATCTGCTAGTCGTTCTATGTGCAAAGTACCGTGGGAGCAGAGAGCAGGACACCTCGTTCTTCTTCCCAGGTTGCTGGAGGAGAGCATCCTCGATTAAAAGACATCTGAGCTGAATCTCAAAAAGGGTTTTATCTAGAGGACCTTCCTGGGGGGAAGTCATTCTGGCCAGGATGAGTAGTTTGTGGAAGTTCGTTTAGCCATGAAAGGGCATGGCGTTCTGCACGAACAGCAAGTGGTTTGGCAAAGTTGAGCCCAGAGCTTAGCACTAAGTAGGCACTGTTGTTGGATGAATGCAAGAACAATTGGAGCTGGACTGTGAAGGGTCTTTTATGTTGTATTTTGGATTTCATCCTCTAAGCAAAGGAAAGACAGACTTGGAGACATAGGGATAGGGATGAGGACTGGAGGTAAGGAAATGGGTAAGGAGGCTATTGCAAAAGTCCGGGATGGAAATGATAAGGATCTGAACGGTCCTTGGAGCAATAGGGATGGAGTGGGAAAAGTAGGTTTCAGAAAGAAGGCACAGAGTCCTTGATTTGTTAGATGTGCAAGGCGGGTAGGGGGAAATGCCAAGGGTGTTTCGTTGGGCACATAGGTAGGTAGAGATGCTGTTTGTTACCTAGGATCAAAAACATAGGAGCAAGCTGAAGAATGGCGGCATGATCATTGGCCTTAGGATCAGAAGATCTTAGTTTGAATACTGACTCTGTTGTTTGCTAGCTGTACACTTTACTTAACCTCCCTGAGCCTGTTTTTCTCATCTGTAAAATGGGAAAACCTCCTGCAGCAGGGTTGTCATGAGGAATAGGTGACTCTAACTATCATCTGTTGCTTGCTCGCAGTACTTTGAGCCAGGCATAGACCTAAGTGCTTTATGTACATTATAGTGTTTAATTCTCTTGGTAACTTTAGAGGTAGAGATATTGGACCCTCATCTTTTGGTGGAAAAAAAACTTGAGCTTGGAGTGTTTAAGTAACTTGTTCTAAATCACACAGATGGGGTGAGAGTAGCATGTTTATAAGCTAGGGTAAAAAGTTCCACTGAGAAGGAAGAATTTAAATAGTGTGGAGAAGGATGATAGTTGATAGAGCAAGAGTACTGAAGGGAATAGGCCGGAGAGCTGGGGACAGGATCAGCTCTGGAAAAGTCCTTGCTGTTTTCCAGGAATTAAGCAGCTCATTTTTGTATTGGAAGACTCCTTAAGGATATTACCTTATTTCCACAAGTCCCAGGTTGTTTTCTGTGCATTACCTTTTCATATTCTAAACTGCATTGCCAGATCACAGATGTGAACCACTGATTTGTTCCTCCTCCTCTCAACAGTATTTTAATAAGCGAAAAACCTACTTTGCCCACGATGCTCTTCAGCAGTGCACAGTTGGCGATATCGTGCTTCTCAAAGCTTTACCCGTCCCACGAACGAAGCATGTGAAACATGAACTGGCTGAGATAATTTTCAAAGTTGGACGAGTCATAGATCCAGTGACTGGAAAACCCTGTGCAGGAACTACGTACCTGGAGAGTCCAGTCAGTTTAGAAACCACCCACCTAACCAAAAATCTGGAAGAACTCAATATCTCTTCAACACAGTGAAGGAGGATTGGAAGAGGGAGCCAAAGGGAAAGATTTATGTTTGCTATATGGAAAAATAAATTTTTCTAAGTTTCTTCACAAACTGTGCACTTTCTCTTCTGGTATTTATGAAATAGCTAAAAGTAAATGAATAAAGGGCTTATTGTAATTTTTCATAAAGGTTTATGGTCATGTTTCAAATTTCCTTTTCAGTGAACATATTTTCCTGTTACACAAAGTGTGCCTAACAATCCACTGCATTATTTTGTAAGCTCACTGTTTTAGAAGGTGTATTTTTTTTTTTCATTCAAAGGAATCTTGAATTTATCTTAGAACCTCTACTTTGGGAGAAAACCTTTTGATATCATAAACAGATAAGAACACATTAAGTGAATATTTATTTTTGATGGTATATATTCAAAATTAATTTAAATTTTTTTCTTTGATCTAACCAATTCCAAATGGAAATAACATGCTTAGGGTCAGACTTTATCAGATTAAAGTCTGTATTAGTAAGAATGTTGACACACAGAAAATAAAACTTAAAAATTCTGTGTCACTTTTATCCTATATCCTAAGCTAGATTAAATAGGAATGAGTTCTTAAAATCTGATACATTGGGGCCGACCCGGTGGTGCAGCGGTTAAGTGCGCGCGCTCCGCTGCGGTGGCCCGGGGTTTGCCGGTTCAGATCCCAGGCGCACACCGACGCACCGCTTGTCAAGCCATGCTGTGGCTGCATCCCAAATGAAGTGGAGGAAGATGGGCACAGATGTCAGCCCAGGGCCAGTCTTCCTCAGCAAAAAGAGGAGGATTGGCAGATGTTAGCTCAGGGCCGATCTTCCTCACAAAAAAAATAAAAAATAAATCTGATACATTGATGAAGTTGTAGAACTTCTCACACGTGCATTTGAGTTGGAGGGTTTCAGAGTTTTGTTGCTGTTCGTTAAGACACTATGATAACTTAGATTTTGACCTGATGAAACATTGAGCTATATATTTCAGTCTTCTGGCTCCTAAAAGAAACTTGGAGCGTATTTCAACCTCAACTAATATGTGTATTCTACAAGCACAGGGTTTCAGCAAGGACCACAGGCACCACCCACCCTCTCAAGGCTCATACTCTAGTGGAGGAGGTACGTACAGGTGCCCTCATGGCAAAGAGGAGCGCACGGGTCGGGGAGAAATTAGGGTAACTTCCCAGAAGAGATGAGATGATGCTAGAACTGAATCGTAAAGGAAGAGTCTCCAGGCTAGTAGATGAGGAGTGTGGAAAGGGCATTCCAGGCAGAGGGTAAAGTCCTCAAAGTATGAGAGAAAGGAGCACAACCAAGGGGTTCGGGAAGCTGGTGAGGACTGCTTGGACATTTTAATTTTTTTTTTTTTTTCCCCCCAAAGCCCCAGTAGGTAGTTGTACATCACAGTTTCGCATCCTTCTAGCTGCTGCATGTGGGACGCGGCCCCAGCATGGCCGGAGAAGCGGTGCGTCGGCGGGCGCACTTAACTGCTTGGACATTTTAAACAAGAGTGGAACTGGAGAAATAGGCAGGAATTATACTGTAAGTGGTGGTGGGTTATGTAATGTTTTTAAAGAGAGTGATATAATTAGATTCACATTTCAATAAAAGGAACAGCGTCAGTGTAGAGAATGGACTGGAAGAGGAAAGATTAGCGGTAGGGAGACGGTGACCTGTTCAAAAACTAGTCCTAAGACCTAAACTGAGTTGGGCAGGGAAGATGAAAAGAGGTTGGATACATGATGTTCTAAAGTAGAGCCCTCAGGGCTTGGTACCAGGAAGGGTGAGCAATAAGGAAGCATCTAAGAAGTGTCTAGGTCTCTGGCAGGTGGGGCTATGTGGTACCAGTTATCCTGGAAGGGACAGGACACCTGTCCAAGCCGTCTCTAAAAGCTCAAGTATTTTAAATGTTTACATATGCTCTAAGGTATCATTTTAAGATATTTTTCCTGAAAATCTTGGTGTAAAAATTATACTCCAGGAAGATGCACCATATTAATTCCATGGCACTGAGTAACCTAAGCCACACATCTGTGAAATAAGACTACCTCTCCCCAGTAAAAAGCACTGGGTTAATGGAACTCCAGAGCAAAATGATAGTGGAGAAAAAAATGCAGAATGAGTGCCCTAACACTAAATAACAGAAAAGCAAGGTCAGCAAAGAAATGTCTACCAAGTTGACATTTCAGCAAAAATAGATTTGAAAGAGTCTGTCTCCTGAAATAGAGCTGAGAAATTGGGGCAACGTGTGAGAAAGTCACAGAGGCACATTGACACCACTGGCTTGAAGAGGCCCTGCCTCACACTGTGCAGGATTGGGACATGTCCTTTCCTCCCTGGGGAGAGCTCCCTTCAGCCTCCCTTTTGGGACCATCCAGCCTCTACAGCGTTACTAAGCATAAGCCAGGTGACATCAGGAACTCCCTCAGCCACACAGCCTCTAGCCTCCTGTCTTTGTGTCCCTTGGCCTTCTTTCCTCTGGCCTGCAAGATACAAATGCATCTCTCTGGTCTGGGGCAAATCCTTGTTGCCACTCCAGCATCCACAAGACCCATTTCTGTCCTCCTTGGTGGCTCCTTGCCATATTAAGGGGTTCAAACATTGCTCCAGGCAGAAAACTGCACCCCTTGAGCCCGGACATTTCCTTCACCTCCCAGATTACCAGCTTCAGAGAACCCCTTAGGCCACAAGACCGGTTCCTGCCCCTAACTCTTTCTATGCAGAGACCTGCCTGGGTAGCAGAGACCTCCCAGCTCCCCAGTCCTGATGGCATCCTCCCCTTAGCTTCTGCAGACCCGCACTGGCCTTGAAATGTTCCCCTTGGTGACTGGGGCCTCTGCTCCTCCCTGCCTAGCCCCCTTTCTGCCCACTTTGGCTTGGTTGCAGTTTTCATGGTTACATTTGTGGCTCTTTTATCTTACCGCAGGATACTTTTTCCCCCGAACAGTGCCATCCTGACTCACGGCTTTGTTTAAATTGTTTCCTCAGTCAGAGGGAGATGTCCTCCCTTCTTACGCTGGTCAGTTCCTCCTCGCTTGGGATTGGGCTGTTGTGCCAGCTCCTCCAGGTCTGTCCTAGATTTCACAGCCACTGCGGGTTACATGCTCTCCCGTCCGTCCTCCCTTCCCGTCTTGGGAACTTCTCCATTTCGACACTTGACACATCCGATCCAATCATCATTTCACATCCTGCCTCCCTAGACTGGGACGGCTTGAGGGCAGGGATGGGGCCAGCGCCAACCAGTGCTGAAATGAACAGGAACAACGTAGTCCCGAGACTGCGAGAGAACTTGAGCATGTTTCCACCCAGAATGCTTTCATTAAAGCGTTATTGACTTATTTTTGTAAAGGCAATCTATTTACATAGCACAAATTCAAATGGTTTTCGGGGAGAAGCCCGCCTCCCAGCTTTGCCCTCCAGGCCCTGGATTCCCCTAGCAACAATGTTCCTCCTTCCTTGCCAAGCCACGCCCATGTTCCTTTCGCGCACTCTGTTCTGGCCACAGAGGTCCTTTCGCTGTAGGTTATTGTCTCCCAACTGGTTCCCCTCCCAACTGTCTTCCCGCTCATTTCCTGCAGCCGCCGCGCTTCCCCGCGTCCGGACGCACTGCGGGCCCGGCCGCCGCGGCCGCGCGCCCTGCTCCCC